TTTTCTGCCTTTCTCGCCTCCCGCGCCACGCCCCTCACACGTACGCATCCTCCCGCTCCCGCTCCATGTCCGTCTCTGCCTCCCGGCGCTCGTTCCCTTTTGTCAGGAGATCTCCTCCCGCCAGCCAGAATGATCCCCGCTCCCGCTCGCATCCACACCCTTGGTGGTCAGCTTTTCGGTGGCCTCATGTGGTCCTGGGTCTTCTACCGCATGAAGGTGTCCATTTTCCATGATGTGCGTCCTGCCAGGTGCCCGGGCGCGCCCCCCTCCGCGTGTGTGTCCTCTCCCAGACCGGGCCCTTCTGACCATTTCCCCCTCTATCCCACCCCCCATGTGTTTGTGCCTGCAGGAGAGCATCCTCGCGCACTTTGGCCTGATTGAGCAGCCGAAGCAGCTCGGCACCCACCACTAAGTGTGTCCTCGCGTCGTGGGTGTGCCCAATGCGCGCAACCCGGTCGCCCTTGACTGCTGCCACTGCCATTGCCGCCAGCATCCTTGCGCCATCCCCCTCACCCTCCTTGCCGCCGCTGCCGAGAGGGGTGGAGGAGAGGCGCCAGGGGATCTGGCGCACCATCGCGCCCCTCGTCTCATGCGCGCACGCGAGCAAGCCCTTGCATGCATGCCTGATCCCCACAGCACCCGCCCGGAGGGCAAGACACGCCTCCATGCCTGGCGTATTGCCCGTCTCGGCGCCCGGGAATGATCTTCTCCATCTAGATTCCGTCGTCCCCCTGTACCAATATAAATCCCCCCATCGACGCGTGGTGTCTGAAAATCGAAGCGCGGCGCGGGGCGGGGCGAGGCGGGCAAGGGGGAGGGAGCCTCCTGCCAAGGGAGGGCCTGTAGGGGGGGCGGAGGCACCAGGAGGGGAAGGCCTCGGCCAGGGTACTGTCGGGGTCCGGGCATCATGGGGCTCCGGACACCAAACATGGCAACGCAGCGAGAGGGGGGGGGGGGGCCGGGGCGAGAACGAAAGCCCCGGGGAGACGATGGGGAACTCGCGCGGACGGGCGCTCACGGGTCGCACAAGCAGGCCCGCAGGCCGGTCGCGGCAGGAACAGGCACAAGTGCTGGGGCCCAAACGAACCAGTCACATGACTCCGTTGGTTGTTGTCTCCGCGTCAGAGGGCCCCTGCCTCGGAAGGACGAGGGGGCCGGAGCTGGTGGTTACAGGCCGCCCCGGCCAGAAAAGGCCGCGGCACCGAACCGAGGGGGTGCTTCCCCTTCTGGCATCCCCCCCATTTCCCCCCCCCCCCCCGCCCCTCCCTTTCCATTCGTCCTGCCTCCTCTCGCCCCCCCCCCTCCCACTTCGCCGCTCCTCCACACCCTCCTCGCCCTTCCCCCGCGCGCGATGTCGGACACCTTCAACCCCTCGTCCATACGCGAGGCGCTCAAGCTTCGCAATGAGATCCAGTGTGACCCCTTCCTCTATGCGATGAAGTCCGGTGCGCCTCTGGGCTGCTTCTTTATTTTCCCCTTGCCGGGGCCCTTCCGTGCGATTGCTGACTTGCCTCCTCCCGTCTCTCCTCCGCCCCTCCCCCCTGCCCCCAGCCGAGCTGAGCCTCAGCTCCAGGTACGCCCCTTCCACTCGCCCCTGCCTCCTGGCCGGCCGCCTTACGCCTGGTCACTGACGCCCACATGCCCGCAGCTCGAAATCAAACCAGGACAAGCATGCCCGCCACTCGTACGAGCTTGTAGATGCGCTTCTGCGCGTCCGCGATCTGGAGATCTCACTTGAGGCCGTCCGCGAGGAGTGCGTTGTCTGCTCGGGAGCGGGGGGGGGCCTTTGCCCCTCCCTCGCTCTACGGCCCGTCCACACGCGCCCACACATGCACGCACGCACGCACGCACAAACCCCCTGCGCACCCTACTAACATCCCCACCCGCCCGGCCACGCCGCACTGCAGGAGTCGCCTGCAGCTTGCCGAGAATGAGAAGCTGAAGAACGACTATCACGACATCAACATGGCCCTGAGCAAGACCCGGGCGCAGATCAACATGCTGACCGAGGATTTGACATCCGAGCGGCTGGAGAACCAGCGCCGGGTTACGCGAGAGCAGCTTTTCGAGAAGTCCCACCGCGAGCTGTCGCAAAAGTGGCTGGCCGCATGCAATGAGCTGGCCGCTGTCCGAAGCGCCTCCACGTGCGCCCTGCCTTTGCTCTGCTATTTTTTTTCCTCGCCCTCTCGCCCATCAGCCGTACCATGTCGCCCCCGTGCCCGGATCGGGCTTCTCCTCTCGGCCCCTTTTGGACTTCACGATCCTGACGACTTTTTGCGCTCCCCCCCCCCCCCCACACACACACACACGCACGTAGTAACTATGTCTCCGAGGAGGAGCGCCGCGCTTTCAAGACCGACGGGGCCATCAGCGAGCCGAAGCCCCCGCTCATGAGCCTGCAGCTCCTGGACACCGAGCTCTCGCGCGCCCTGTCCACCGTGCCGACCCACTACAGCAAGAGTGTTGTGCGTGTGTTGGCCTGCGTCCCGGTGGGGCTGGGCCGGGCTCGGCTGCTGCGCCCTCACTCTCTGCCACCTTGCGCGCCCGTGCCTTCCTGACGCTGACCCCCGTTGTGTGACCTTGCCCGCCTCCGGTGTTGCGCTGCCTGCGGATGGTCCTCTCCCCGCAGCCGGCCCATCGCCATGAGATCAACTGCATCCAGTTCAGCCACAACGGTCACCGCTTCGCCACCGGGTCCACCGACAACACGGTGTCCCTGTTCACGGAATCGGGTACGCAGCCTGCCTGGATCCCTCCTGCCCTGCCGGTGCCGATGCTCGCCTGCGACCACACATGCGCGCGCCCGATCTGACCCTTCGTGCTTGCCCCTGGGTGTGTGCGTGTGTGTGTGTGTGTGTGGGAAAAATGCGCCGGCAAAACGCTCTCCCGGCCGGGAAAAAAACAACAACAACAACAACAACAACACAGCCTCCCCTGTGCGCGTGATGCAAAGCTCGCGGTCGTTCATTACCGACGTCAACTTCAGCAAGGACGACGAGTTTGTGATTGCCTCCTCTACGGACATGATCGCGCGCATCTGGCGCGCCGATACCGGGCGCATCTTCCACCAGCTGACCAGACACTCGGGCACCGTGTGCGCGGCCAAGTTTTCGATGGACTCGCAGCGCGCCGTGACTGCCAGTGCCGACCGGTCCATCCGCGTGTGGGACATGCAGACCGGCTACTCGCAGGTGGTCATCCTGGCCTACTCCATGGTCAATGATGTGGTGCTGATGGATGACTCGGCGACGACCCTGCTGTCGGCCCAGAGTGACCACAGTTTCTCCTTCTGGGACACCCGGTCGCACCGCCATGTCAACACCATCCTCAATGTGCACACGCAGAACATCAGCGGTCTCTACATTTCCCCGGACTACCAGTATGTCCTGTCGGCCTCGCGCGACAACACCCTCAAGCTGATCGACGTGCGGAAGCTCGCCTCGGTGGCCACCTTCAAGGCCCCGGACTACCGGTCCACCTCGTCCTACACCCGGCCCATCCTCAGCCCGGATGGCTCGAAGGCCGCCGCCCCGTCAGCCTCCGGCAAGGTCTTCGTCTGGGACGTGCTCAACTCCAACGAGCCGTGCAACATCCTCTCGATGCCGGACAGCAGGTGCGTGCATCCTTCTCCCGGCTGACCAGCCCCTGCTGCCTGCCCTTCTTCCGCCCCCCTGTGCATGGGCCTCTACTTAGCCAGCGCGCGCGGGGGGGGGGGG